ATTCTGACAGAGCAAGCCCAAGATCAGCAGATCCTATCCCACATATGAAGCTCAGTTTGGGCTCTTAAAAATATCAAATGGCGTTCAATTAATGCAGCTGGAACCACATCAATACAGCTACCTGTTGATACAATAAGACAGCATTTAGGGGATGACTATTGGTGCTTTCATAAGAACTGCTTGACAAGAGTTTTGGAAAGAGAATCCATTTGAGCTAGAACATTTGAATAAGTTTAGATATTTGTGTAAGAGGTGAAATGCAGGCCAGGTAAACACAAATGTATGTCTTACCACAGCATACTAACTAACCAAATATTACTATTTAACAACCTTGTTAAATTTCATGGTATGAGTACAATATTAATACATAGCCAGGCAGCAATAGGTGACTCAATCAACACAGAGATGAAGAAAACTAAAGACGGCAATTTACCATGCACCATAACTAGGTACGGCTTTAGCAGTGCTTTCATTTCTATAAATCTAAAATGAACAGCAGGAGTCTTTGTGTTCTGTTCATAGTGGATCTCTGCTTTTTAAGTGATGTAAACAAAAACAAAAAAAATTATATGTATATATATAAATAAATAAAAAAAATAATTAATGCCATGGCAGAAAAAAAAAAAGAGAGTGATCAATACTTAACTGGTCCCACATACATAAGAAATTAAAACAAGATAAAATGTGATGCAATCAAATGGCTTTAACAAAAGATTAACCTCAAAGTCACAGTGTTCTTTTAATCTTACCTAACTCGTAGATGTTTCTATTCCTGATATCTCACTTCTGACAGGTGGCATCGTTTTCCGTCATTTTGTGCCAGAAAACTTTTGATCCTCTGGACCAACCTTTTGAGCTGTTCACACATGTCATTTCCAATTTAAATTACAGTATTTAAACCTAAAACTTTTCATAACCTTAAACTTGAGATTAAAATGGCCCAATGACAGTTAAATTCATAAAGCAATCATACATGGGCTGAAAATTTTGTTTTGGTTGAGTCTTACAATTGCATTCTTTGTTTTGTCCAAACTTTTCCAGCAGATTATCTTAGTCGTTATCATGTTATGGATCCTCGTTTATAAAAATCTGAAGCAGCATTTTTTTTTATTTTTTTAATCTACACAAGAAGTTGTCATGGCAAACTGTTAGCAAAGTTATTTACGCATCAAGCAGACATGGAGCAACATTATCGTTCATCTGGAGTTTTTCCTCAATAAAAATATAACAAATGTTATTATAATTGTATATGTTATAATTATAGTTAAATAAATATTTGATTAAATTCATTTGAATCATGAACAAATCAGCGCATATTTTTCTTTAAGATATTTTGTTGAGGAAAAGGGACTGAAAATGTTTTTTTTATTTTATTCATGTGTATGAGTTGAAGAAATATTTTATCATGATTGTTTTTGAATGTTCTCCCTCAGATTGTTAAGTGATCCACTGTTTGGCATCAAGTGTTCTCATCTTAAAAAAAAGTTTAAAAACACAATTAACCCTCTGGTTTCTTCAACTTTTACTCAGGAGCAAAAACCAGCCTTTAAACTTGAAAGAAATAATGATTTGACATTGACCATGATAATTATGGGTATCAAATTCTATGATTTTTTTTATTATGATAACATTTTAGGCCATATCGCCCAGCCATACCTGCAAGTCCAATTTTCACTCCTCTTTTAGTTTTGTGTTCCTCTCCACTAGGGCTGAGGCGATTCGTCGATGTAATCGATTACGTAAATACGTCGACTCCGGTGTTAGTGGATTCCCCCGGACAAGCTCCAGCTACAAGTCCTGGCCTTTGGGAGTGTTTTAGCCAGACACTCAACAGTGGGGCTGAAAGATTGAGATTTTTCTGCCATATATTGCGATTCCATTTTTATTTATTCATTTTTAAAATTCAATATTCAGTGCCAGTCTATTTTTGACTAAAGCCGTGTCAAGCAGCACAGAGCAGATGGACCAGAAAGGAAGTCAGACACAGAATAGCAACAAAATAAAACACCCATTGCAGATTCTCGATCGTATATCAACAAGAAACACAGTTAAAACAGACCAAAAAAAAAGACACAATTTAACTACGTAGCCTACTTTACCAAAGTAGACAAAAATCAAGGACAACTGAAAAAATAAGCAAAATCTGAACAAGTCAGCAAAATCAGACGGTCAAAACGCTCTTATTCTTAAATGCTCCATGTAGGATACGTAGCCCGCACAGAGCGGAGAGGAACGGGCTCACAGAGAGCTCTTATCTTTAGTTGAAGCACACAAAATGACAATGAAATGAACATCACGTTAACAACGTGTAGGCTAAACGCGCCGCCGCTGAAACACTTCAGTGCGAGTTGATCCCGGGACAGTTGCTGCCTGTGTTTGTTTGGATGGGTCCATTATCCCACACGTTTTCATCTAGTTTCGTTTGTTGTTGTAAAATGTACACGCCCTGTGTCCGCTCCGATTGGTGAGTAGGACCGTAACGTAACAGGAGGCGCATGGCACTTGTGATTGGCAAGCAGATCTGTCACACAAGGATGACAATGAAATGAATTTGCAAATGCATGACCGTTTTAAAACGGGTCAGATGCACTGTATAATTAACCTACATCGCCGTCTTCACGACTAGCTTATCGCGTTCTTTCAAATCGCAATTTGGATTTGAAAACGATTAATCGTTCAGCTCTAATTGAACAAAATATTATTTATTAGACATGTTTTTGATATTTATTTTGGATAAATTGCTATGTTAGTCGAGTAATAGGCAACTTTTTGTTCTCGAGAATACACAAATTAGTCGTCGAAAAAATTATCGTTAGGTTAATCGACTTGAAAAATGATCGTTATGTACAGCCCTAGTCTCCACCAACTTCTGAAGGATATATCTGGCTCCTTAGACTCTAAATGCTCCACCATTTCCCCACCTAGATGCTAACTTTGGCTGTTTGCCCTTATACTGGGTTTATTAAGAGTTTCCTCCCTGAAAACAGCTACCTGTTACAGATGGAAACAAGGTTGATAAGAGTGAACCACACAGTACTTAAATTATAATAATGACTTAAAAGACACTAGAGATGAGATGATAAGATGCTTTTAAGGCCTGGATAACATTTTGATCCATTGAATTCACTACATTTTATTGGCATGTCAACTTTGCATGGAGAAGGACCACATACAAGCAAAACACAGGTAATCATTTAACTGATACCTACCTTAGATTAGCATTTTATTGCTAACTGCTAGCTATAAACAACCATTGTTGTTACAAAAAAAACAAAAAAGGATAATCAAAAGAAGACTACAGCATTTTTCAAGGCCCTACCAATCAACGTAATATACCCACAGTGTGATCACACACCACTACGACAGCCAACAGACAGCTGTGAGCACCTGTTTGCCCTAGATGACACACATAACAGACCCAAGCACATACTGCACAGAGGGGTAAAATTGTAACTGGAGCTGAGGGGAACACTGCCAGGCTGTGGCAGCTGCTTCAAACAGCTCTGAATCAGGTTTTTACACACAGAGCCTTTTGAAAGGGAAGCGTTCGTGTCAGGCCCTGTCACTGGCAGGTGGAGACATGAAAAACAAGGACAATTTTGGGCTTTGGATGGAGAATTGTTGCTGGCCGTGGTTCATTTCTCTGCCATTAGTTTGAGAGACAACAGCGGGGATGTTGGACAAAAAGGAAAATATTATTAAAAGACCTTTCACATGACAGAGAATGAGAGCGGCAAATAATTGATCCAACATGGTCTTCACAGCAGCACCATCAGTAAACCAAATTCAACTTATAAGGCTTAAAAACATTTACTCTTTTCCATCAAACTGCATACCATCTAACAGTAAAATTGTTTTTGCATAAAATTTAACAGACTCTAAGAGTCTCCAACAAATCCGTCTCTTGCAAAGGGGATGTGGAGGATATGTAGCTATTTGTGTTAGTGATGTTTTATTGACTGACGTTGGGAAATTTTCCTTTTGTAAGCCTCCATGCAAAAGGTCAAAGGTCAGAGCCCCCAGCAGAACAGCAGTTCTGCAACTTATTACCTGTTGCTCACCTCCTGCTTCCTGATAACTGGACAGGATCTGCTGTGTGTCATCACGGGCATCAGTTGTCCATCAATATGTCAAAGATATTTTTTATTCTACTCATCCATTCATTCCAACAAATACAGTAAATGTGCACCTATTTTTATTTTTTTTTTACAATAAATTGATTCAATTAAGGATGTAAACTCAAAATGTTCAATGTGACAATATAATAATGTTTTAGGTATGGTACTATTGGTGCCATCGTGGTACTCATGGGCTGAACAATTAGTCAAAATATTATCTAAATTGTACCATGGCCAAGTGCAATATCCACAATTTTTTGATAAAAGGTAAAATGTGTCACCATACAAGCATTATGGTGCTACAAAGACGCCCCAGCAACCAAATCAAATTCTCCAGACATAAGGGTTTGGTACAGATCCCACATAATTTTTATATTTTGTTCAGTGAAAATCACTTCGGCTGAGGCATACTGACACCTCCGGTGGTCGCTCTCCACCAGAAAAGTCATACAAGAACTGAACTGTAATGGAGCTTTTAATAATATAATAACCAGACTCTTATATCTGGTCTCAAATGATGATGATAATTTAACATTATGTCACTTAACGTATCTCTGCTTGTAAGCGCAATTATTATTTTGTTATTTGAAAATCTGACTACCCGACCTTGCTGTCTACAATTAACCTCAAATACTGTCTCTAGTACACAGCCAATTCAAAACCACATTAGAAACTAATGCTCATGCTACAAACACCAACACTTCAGAATAATCTGTTTATCATTTGGCACAGTGCTTTAACCCTGCAGACAGCCAGTCAAGCTAGCCTACAATGAGCCCATAGTCTGACACCAGACAGGTGTAACACCATCTCCTCTGCTGTTTGTTCAAGTCATGTAATGAGCCTGTAATGAGGCCATGAAATATTGATAACCATGCTCACCTAACACTTGGCCTCTATAGGAGTCCTCTCAACTGAAAAACAAGATAATAGAAAGGAACACTTTATGCCACCTTTGCTGCAGAAACAAAGATGAGGAGACTGCTTTGAAAACAACAGATCAAAACTGCAAAACCTTGATGTGCAAACTGATTTTGTGTTGCATGCAGTGGATACATTACATATCCAGGGTAAAAGAACAATTAACAGCGCTGGAAGAATAAAGATATACTGGAAGTCATTCACTTAGTAAGTCAGTCCTTAAACGCGCAAGACCAAATGGCTCTGGTTGTTATTTGTTCGCGTTTTAACTAAAAAACCACCTTGAGAGCTAAACATAAAACGTTTAAGCAATAAGAATTTAAGCGAAATCAGCACATTTGAGTTATCCTATGTTTGACTGCTAAACACCACCATGTAATCTAGCATTCAGATAAAAATGAGTGGTAGAGAGAGTTAGACAGGCAGAGAAATACACAAGACAGGTGATCGTCAACTTAACTTACCTATGTTATTCCAGTGACGAAAACCGCAGACCTTTTCGTGCTCTCTCCTAGGCTGTTTAGCTTACCATTAAGGGTCACTACAAAACTCAAAACACGACTTTCACCGCAAACACTTATAGTTTAATTGGGATGACACGTGAACGCCACTCGCTGTTCGATAACGTTAGCATTAACCAAACTTACCAAACTTACAACCTGCTAACGTTAACGTTACCTGTTTAATTTCATATCGATAACCTATGATAACGCCATTTATCGCTGTGAGGTCCTTCTAAACACCCTTTGGTCGTCTGTCTGCCTTCCTAACGAGTAGCTAACGTTACGTTAACTAACAAACTGTAACTCTCGATGCTAGCTGGCTCTTTGCTGCAGCTGGACCAGAGCTGGACACAGGTCGCTAAGCAACAACAAGCGGTACTTTATAGGCTAAGCTAACCAGCTAGCTAAGTTAGCTCATTAGCGATCCTCCAACAGCCTGTTGTGTAACCAGAAAGCTCAATAAATAGCGATATCATGTAGCCTGTTTGTACAGTATAGATAATAGTAACATTACTAAAAACTACTTACTACTGTATAACTTGTGTTGGGTTTTTTTGATAAAGGACTACACTAACCATAAAAAAAAAACTACAAATGTCCTGGATCGTAAGTCTGCCGTCAGAGTGTTACAAGTGTCGTGATCAGCTGCGGATTTAAATAGGAGTGACCTCCGGCTTGAGCTAGAGGTGGGAAAGAGAGAGAGAGAGAGAGAGAGAGAGGATCGCTGTCCGAGCTAAGTTATCGTTTGGAAATGGTGAGTAGGGCCAGCAAATGTATCGATTATTTTGTTTTTAGTAACGTTAATGCAGATTTTAACGCAGATAAAACCGCAGTTATTCCAGTTGATCCAGTAAACAGTTCACAAAGTTCGTCAAAGTCTGCCATGCAAATTGATTTTAACGATAATTATACAGTAGTCTGGCTCTGCATGATGTAACCAAGCCCCCTTGGGACTCATTCGTTTGTTTTTTTAAAAACTCAGCCATATAGGCATGTAACGCGTTTATAATTTACTACTTGGCTAATTTTGAATGAATGCTGTTGAGTGAATGGTAAAGATGGCGATGAACCTGATAACCTAAGTATATCCTGGTTTTGTTATGTAACAGAGAGTCCTGTATGGAAGGCACAGAGTCTATTTTTGAACTGACACCCCCTTGCTTTAGTAAATCCTGTTGACAAGAATAGACACCCAGCCTGCAGTGTGCTGGACAATTAAACTGTCACTTTTACACCTTTTAAAGACATAAAATCAATGCTAATAGTACTAAAAGCAGTGTTCTTTGCCTTGTGTCTTGCAGTCTGAGCCTATTAGAGTTCTGGTGACTGGCGCTGCTGGGCAGATTGCCTATTCCCTGTTGTTCAGCATTGCCAAGGGAGATGTCTTTGGCAAAGATCAGGTAAATAAGGGCTTTGTCTTGCTCACGTAAAACACTCAATTCCCTTATCTCATTAGGAAGTGTAAGGGCAGCGTCACAAGACATACATACTGACGACCCCCAGTGAACAGCTGTGAATATCACAAGTTTTCCAGGTCAAATTTAAGGGTGACATTGAACAAATGTTGGGAATTGATCAGATTGCACGCACCCTGGGACAAGGCAGGATTGCCCTTGAAGTAAATTAAATAGATCTTGTGCCAAGAGTCTTAGGCCAACTTTAAAACCACTTGATCCATTAGCCACACGGCACAGTCAGTGAGCCACATGGCTTACTTACGTCTTCACACTCTGTTCCAAAGACAGCTAAGTCCCACACTGTCCTGTCATTATACATGGGAATTATGATTTAAGTGCATTTAAATTCAGTTCAGCATGTTTTATTAATTTCATACCATTCACCCCACTTGCCTTCTTCCTTCCCTGCTCCTTCTGTCAGCCTGTCATTTTGCTCCTTTTGGACATTACGCCCATGTTGCCAGTCCTGGAAGGTGTTGTCATGGAGCTGCAAGACTGTGCCCTCCCACTTCTGAGAGGTAACTTTTTAAGGGTGGGACAAATTACATGATATTGTCTGTATAGGTTATTGACATACTGGCATAAAATATCATAGATTTTATTAAACATGTAGAATATGGACTTGACTTTACAAGTTGCTGTTTTTGTAGAAGCTATTTGGAGTTAAACAGAGTTATCATAGGTTGAAACTATTTTATGTGCTCTGAGGGCGTCTGCTTTTAGCCAGTTTATAGCTTTTGTTCTATTTTAATGAAGGCGCATGCTGCTCTGTTTGTTTTTGAAAAGGTAGTCTGTACACACTGTCTGTGATACTTAAATCAATTCACTGTGCAGTGTATAATACTATATATGTGATATTTCTGTGTTAGGGTCCTGATTTCATGTTCATGTACACAAATATTATTGTAGCCGTGGGGTTTAGAAGATTTTCTTGCACTGATACTATCATTTTAATAAATACGTATCACTCTTACAATGACTCATGTATTAGTAATAATAACTTATTGTTATTATTATTATTCCCTCCCCCTATAACTGTACCTCTGGCCTCTGTCTTAAGCATTGTGGGTTAAAGATATAGTGGACCGTTTTATTTAATGTGCTTTACATTTAACATGTAGAAGTTGTATGACTGCATACAAGTTCTGCATGTTGGGCCCCAGAGAATTGAATAAATAAGAATAAGAATAAATCTACTCTAAAAGTTACAATGTTGTTATTCCACTCATTGTTTCTGAGCAAACACTTTGAATGGAAGGACCCAAGGCTGTATTTATTAAGCATCTCAAAATCACTCTTTTTTTTACACAAATTGTGCCATTTGGCCACAACATCAAGGATTGTGCATAACAACATTTATTTGAAATTACTGAATATGCAAAGTATTGGATGAACAAACGCTATTATGGTGGCTGCATAACAAACAAATCTTGCAGCTGAACTTGATCTCCGTGTTTTCAAATAAGTATAAATTGTTAGATCTTGTTTTTTTGTGGCGCAGTTTTGTAGATGGAGCGGTTATCCCAGCCAAAATCAGCCACAAGATTTTTGAATCAGTCTATATCATTGAAGGAGCCTGTTGTTGTTTTTAATCAACACTTACAGCTATGCAGCTCTCCTAAATTTTGGAGAAGACGGATACATTTTCCTTGGTTTAATCAAATGCTTTTATTCTGAGAAACAAACATGTGTCACTATAAGAAGAGGATTAGGACTTTCCCACTAGGTTTTTCCGTGTTATCGCTGTAACCTCTGTCATGACATCAGTCGTGAGGCGCCATTATATGCCATCTCCATTGTGACCTGGAATTTTTCCTTTGAATTGGTGCTGTCCTTTTCTTTGTTTGGACAGGGGCTGTGAGAGGCCCCTGTATTAACTAACTGTGCTGCAAAGACAACGCTTCATGCACTGAGATGGGCCATAGAGTCCTAGGCACTGCCATAGAGTACAATACTGGTCACACATGTGATGCGTCCAAAATAAAAGAAATCCAAAAGTTTATGGTTGAATGATTTAGAAATGATGAAAAACTTTCCATTAAGTTTGGTTTCGAATGAGTTAGGATGGAAATTGTGATGAATTGTAGACCATGTGGACAGACAAGACTTTAGCTGTGTACTTTGTATACTCTGGTGTTATTGTTATAGGGAGTGTATGAACAAGATCATTGTTAACCTTTGTCAGCAAATCCAACTGAGAACATGTTTTACAGCGGAGACCTGGCCAATAGACAGCACTAATATGAGCTAACAAGTTACACAAATGATCTTTATTAACATAGACTACCTACACTGTATGGACAAAAGTACTGTGACACCTCTGACCTTACAGGGCCCTAGGGGCTGTTTCTTCATGGTGTGATCTTTGTTAAGGGAAATAATGCTACAATAAATTTACTTTTACTCATTTATCCAAAGCAACTTACAGTTGCCGTATAGGTCAGAGGTCGCATGGCTCTGGAGCCCCTATGGATTAAGTGTTTTGCTCAGAGACACATTGGTGGATGTGTTACAGGGGGAATCCAACCCTGGTCTCCCACACCAAAGGTATGTGGCTTATCCACTGCACCATTGCCACCCACATAAATAATGCTACAGCATACAATTTTAGAAAATAGTTCTTCCGACAGTTTGTGTTTGACCTTTTCAAAATGACTGTGCCCCCATGCACAAAGCCAGCTCCATAAAGAAATGTTTTTCGCAGTTTGGGGTGGAAGAACTTGATTGGCCCTGCACAGAGCCCTGACCTCAACACCTTTGGGATGAACTAAAACGGAGATTGTGAGCCAGGCTCTCTCATCCAACATCAATATCAGACCTCACAAATGCTCTTCTGGATGAATGGGCAAAATTTCCCACAGACAAGCTCCAACTTGTAGAAAGCCTTCCCAGAAGAGTGGAAGCTATCATTGCTGCAAAGGGGGAACCAACTTCATATTAATGACTATGGATGTCATAAAAGTAATGTGGATGTGTCTCAGTACTTTTGTCCTTATAGTGTTCTTGGCTCCAGTCAAGTGGGAATCTGCCTGAAAATTTATTTTAGGGCTTGGCGATTGAGATTTTGAGGGTAAATGTCAACCACAGGAACAAACATTAACGTTCTCTTTCCACAGAGATTGTCCCCACTGACAAGGAGGAAGTGGCCTTCAAGGACCTGGATGCAGCCATCTTGGTGGGCTCCATGCCAAGGAAGGAGGGCATGGAGAGGAAGGACCTGCTCAAAGCCAACGTGGCCATCTTCAAGAGCCAGGGATCAGCCCTGGAGAAGTACGCCAAAAAGACCGTCAAGGTAATGATACAGGACTTTATGCATGCTAATTCATTCATTCATTCATTCTCCTGGCTAAGTTGCTTGTGTTACATTGTTTTCAAGAATGTAGAAATGTTCCTTATAGTTTTTCATTTTTTGTTACTGCTCGGCTGATTCTAATTGTTCAGAGCAATGGGTATGTTGCAGACATGGCAACATAATACAGTTTATTTTCTAATGCTTAATTGTGTTTTTTTGTCCCTTTTTATGATATTAAGCATATTACAAGTCTGTTTCTTTTAAACCACTATTGTAAGAATAAGATATAAACTGACAGCTGCTTTTAATCAAGTAAATATAAAAAATATAGTGTAATCTGTTACTACCATCAGTTTACTTTGAATTACGTGTGTGTGTGTGTGTGTGTGTTTTTTCCAGGTGCTGGTTGTGGGAAACCCTGCCAACACCAACTGTCTGATTGCAGCCAAATCTGCTCCCTCCATCCCAAAAGAGAACTTCTCCTGCCTCACCCGTCTGGACCACAACAGGGCTCGCTCTCAGGTGCATTCATTTAGACTTTTTATGTTTTATTTTTTTGTAGTTAAGCATACTCACGCTTTGTCTAAGCTGATCTTCAAACCTGAATTTTTCTTTCTACTCTGCCCCTGTAGGTGGCGATGCGCTGTGGTGTTCCCGCCACCCATGTGAGAAATGTCATCATCTGGGGAAACCACTCGTCCACCCAGTACCCAGACGTGCACCACTGCATGGTCAACATGTCTGGTAGCGAGCTCGCCTGCTTTGATGCAGTCAAGGATGATGCCTGGCTTAAAGGAGGTTTCATCACTGTGAGTCAAAGAGAAATACTACTCTGTTGGACAGAGACACGGGAAAAATATTTTCACATTTTACAGAAAATTCTTGATGGATTTTCTAAAATCAAATAATCAAATGTAGGATGTTTATTTGACAAAAGATGCAATTAAAGAATAAAATTAAACCTGGCCTGTTCAACAAATGCACACTGACTCAAACGGTGGTCACAAAATATCTGCAGTTATCAATGATAAGCAGTTGAATCAGATTTTTATTCATATGTTATGAAACAGTCTTGTCATTTTCAGTCCTGTGACCAATGATTTGTGTTTAGCTTTTTTAATGTAATTTCTTGATGTTTTGTGCACCACTGATAAAAATCCAGAGATATCTGCTGACGGCACTTCAGGCCTGGCCCTCATTAACACTCTCGTGCACCCAACCCCTCTCACGTCTTCCCTTGAAAATGTTAAATGTATAATACAAATTCAACAAAATTGAACATGTAAATAACTACCACACTGAACTTTTAATCTTTCATAACTCAACTTGTACATCTTATTTTATTCATTATTTTAATTTATATGCAGTATGTTTATGTCTGGCATCTAGTCTCCAAAGCAAAGTCCTTGGATGTGTAAAAAACTACTTGACAATAAAGCGGTTTCTGATTTCTGACATTTCAGCCTTAATATCAAAACCTTTAACAGACAAACAAAACCAGAACTAGCTGCTCAACTCAATAATACAAGCCCCAAATGCCACTGCATTTTCATTTAACGGTCCATGTTCTTTTATTATAGACAGTGCAGCAGAGAGGCGCAGCAGTCATCAAGGCCAGGAAGCTGTCCAGCGCCATGTCTGCAGCCAAGGCCATCTGTGACCACATGAGAGACATCTGGACAGGCACCCCTGAGGTGAACACCACATTTGTTATACTGTAGTTGTAACTGTGAGGGAATTTTGCTTATGGGAATGTGGGTAAAGGTTAGGTATGGGTGACGATTAGGTCACTCACCTAAAAACAGAATGACCTCCTTCTCTCTAGCAATAGTTCATGCAGCTGTCTCTCTCTCTGTGTTCATGGTGACAGCTGGGTAGATTTGGAATAGGGTTGCACAATATTGGAAAAAACTAACATAGCAATATTTTTCTTTTCTGCAATATATTTTGTGATATGACAAAATACAGGAAGTTTCACCAGATTACTTCAGTTGCTCTATTTGAAAATAATTGAGCACCCTAAAGGAATTGATCAACTGATCGAGAATATAGAGATATATATATTATATACACAAATTGTGTATCCAAGAACTCTTAAATCGGAGTAAATGATGTTACATCTGACAAACTTGAAATGAGAACTGTCCAAGTTTTCCTTTTCTATCAAGCAGCACAAAAGTTGAGGTGGTTGAGTTAATTTGACTTGATTGATATTGCACTGTTCTGCGATGTGTCTATTGCGCAAGAGCACATTGCGATGACGATGCTCTGGCGATATATTATATATATATACAGCACTAATTTGGAATGAGTCCTTTTCCAAGCAGCCATGGACAGAACATATAGGGCGATTTCTTCAATGTTAGATGTTTACAGACTGTCATATGCAATACATGTGACCTCCAGATCCCAACGAGACTTAGGTAATGCATTTAAGTCTAGCTTCCAGTAGTATGGCTCTATATATTTAGACCAGCAAAAAACAGCAATATTGTGGACCATGAGGCAGTCTTCAGATTTGGCCTTGGTAATACACTCTATTCACACAGAAATACTGATGCCAGTCTTCTCAGCCAGGCTTCAATAAACAGTTCTGTGCAAGACATCCTGAGATGTTCTTCTTCTGCATTAAGAGTTGACTCAATCCCAAGAATTTCATTAGTGATATCTGGAATAAGCGACATTGTATTTGAAATGCAGTTTAACTAGTTTCTCTCTCTCTTTTTTGTTCCAGGGTGAGTTCATCTCCATGGGTGTTTACTCATCTGGCAACTCCTATGGAGTCCCAGATGACCTCATCTACTCATTCCCCGTCCAGATCAAGGTGAGACTGGTATAACGTTGGGTTCACTCCTCATACAGTATGTACCTAGCTCAAAAAAGATGTACCGTCATCAGTCAACATTTGTAAATTAAGGTTTGTAAGCATGTGTTAAAAAATACAAAGCTTATCAAAGTATGCCGTTTCCTCAGGACAAGACCTGGAAGATAGTGGAGGGCCTGGCCATCAACAGCTTCTCCCAATCAAAGATGGACGCCACAGCAGCGGAGCTGATAGAGGAGAGAGACACAGCTGTGGCTTTCCTGGGAGTATGACTGTACCCTGCAAGGTCACCCAGCCAGCACTTAGACTTCCCCGAAACTCCAGACGCACGCCTGTGATAAAGCACTCCACCAGCCCCGGCATTTGTGTGTGTGTGTGTGTGTGTGTTTGAAAGAGAAGAGTCAGTGTTTATGATTGTAAAGTTGGATTTATACTTGTATTGTGGGAGGCTACAGCATAGAAATTAGCCTTAGCACCTTTTCCAAAATGTGCAGCAGCTACATAGGTACCAAACGGAGACAGAGGTTGCTTGAAGTTTTTGATACAGGTGGAGATTGTTGATAGTGAAGACAACTTTATGCAAGTTAAGGAGAGGCCCAGTAATTGTCTCCATTATATCAGACACATTTTGCGATTTGGCAAATCCATTTGCACAACAAAGCATCTACTTACTCTGACCGCTCCTGTCTATCAAAGTGGAAAATAAAAGAAGGTAACCAGTTTACTTTGGCTAAAAATTATTCCACGGCATTAGTCTCTTTTCATTAGAAAGCAGACAATCATAGCAAGGCTGCTGTACACTAAAGCACAAGTATAACTCCAACTTAAGTATACAGTATATACTGAAAGTTCAACGACTTTATTACTAGCTATTTTCCATTAACTTTTCTCTGGGGGTAAGTGAAACGTGGATGGTTGTTACATATAGTCAATGATGAAGTCCTCAAACACTGGAATGCATCACTTTTAAAGCTCAAACAATAAAAAAACTAACAATGTAGTTGTGTGTTGATGGGTTTACTTTTGTTTTACAAGTGTTTTTGTCCTCTTACAGGCAAACAAATAGGCACAATGTAGTTGCCACTTCTTCAGTTGCCATAAATAGTAGGTTTAGGGGCTGAGTGGTTAGCATTGTCACCTCATAGCAAGAAGGTCCAGGGCACAAGTTTGCCAGCCAGATGGGCACTTTATGCATGGTTGTTCTCCCTGTGTCTGCGGGTTTCCTCCCACAGTCCAACAACATGCATGTTAGGTGAATTAGTGACTCTAATTTGTCTGTGAATGTTTTTATACATTTTGTCCTGTGATAGAACAATAGAATATACTTTGTCACTAATAAAAATGTTCTTGGAGTCTGCACTGCAGTAACAAATATAATCTATACAAGACAGGCGACCTGTTGAGGTTTTACCCCTCACCGATTTGCATCATATTAGTAGGGATAGATAGGTGGCTGGACGCACAAACCGGGACCAGGTTTTCTTATTGTTACCTTAGGACCATGAATTATGCAGTGTGGAGGGTAAATATGATTACTAGTATACTATATATCACATTTAGTCCTGTAGTTTCAGAAAAATAACGACAGTTTGTTTAGTTGATGCTTATGATGCTGGACTTCATGGTAATTAGAATTAACATACTATTATTATTTACATCCTGTTATACATTTGAACAACCAAATTGTATATCATCAAGCCCAAATATCTTAAACAAACCCAGGATTTGAATAAATACAGTTATACCTGACAGAAATATTGTGACCTGTATTGTCCAGCCTTGGTGAAAGGTATTTGTAGACAGTAACACTGTACAATAGAAGCTCAAGTACAGAGCAATGTCACAGTGTTGCCACTCAGGGGCAGTATTTTCAAGTTTTTCCCTTCCCAGCATCCTGAGGACTGTTTATGTAACATGTAATTGGGAATGTATTGTAATTGACACGCATGTAATTTCACGTGTGTCATCGCTGACTAAAAACAACCAACCATTAAAGGGGATTAATCTACCAATAACATTCACTATCCCAACATTAGTGAGGTAAATCTGGTGTATCTAGTGTAATGTTTAATCCTGTCTAGCCAATTTGATACTAATGATAATATATGGATGTACTTCAAAAGGTTAACCGGTACTTTAAAACTCAAATACCAAGGTCAGTGCGGTCAGGCAGATGTGGGCTTTTTGGTATTTCCTATTTACAGAATTCTTCAACCCGGAACTGTGAGAAACCACATTGAACGTTGCAGAAATCTATTGGCAGTCAAAACTGCGTCACAGGCAAAGACGCCTTTTCATTGGCTTCCATCCTCATGCAGCGTTCCCATTCGCCGCTGCTGGGAATGGCACTGAAGTGTAAAATGTTTTCAAACTAAAAAGCTTTTTTTTTTAAGTTCTTAAATTTTTTTTTTACCCTTTAAGGATTTTTTTATATAGCGGGGTCGTTGGGAAACAACAGCGCAGTCTTTAAAGGTGAAAACCTGTTAAAAAAACCACACATATTGTGTGTAACGTTACCAGTGTGTAAGTTACCCCGCTGTCTTGTCTCCTCTGCGGGATTACTTGCGGTCCTTCAGACCCGCAGGACCGAGGCCGACCCCATCGACTTGTCTTCCGCTACCATCCTACAGTCACACAGTAAGAACATACCTTTAAATCTAAAAACATTTGATCACTCTTGACGTTATCACGTTTCCCCTAAGCGAGTGGTAGCATTTTAAAGTTAGCTTGCTGCGAAACATTAGCCCAACAGTTCGAAAACGACCGTTTGTTCTTGTGTGAGGTTCAGGTACCGCCGTTGATTTGAGTGATCTTAATGTCTGTCAAGTATGCACACCGCGTTAATACTCATTGTTTCTTGAGTGCATACCGTTCCCCCCCTCCCCTCTGTCCATCCACCCACCAGTCATTCATTTCCCCTTCAGGCAGATCACGCGGATTGACTCGCTTGTCTGCATCTCACTGAGGTTAGTAAATTGACGGGATGTTTGTTGTTGTGCCAATAAGGTGAAAATTGAAGACAGGGGGCGAGGCGAAAAGAAGAACATGACCAGAGGTTGGGACTCGCAGCCAGGATTTGTGACGTGGTTTACAGTACTGGGGCAGTCTGTAAAGAAAGGCAGACACCGAAAGCAATCAAGGATCCTGCTGCTAGTTTCGCCACAGCTCCGTGTTCGTGGACGACGTCTGGCTTCTGCCCACAGAGATACTAAGTGTGGTCGTATGAATGTGTCCTTGTTTTTACGTACGTGAGGTAGACAGGACGTCTCATCCCTCCAGAGATTCAGTTGTGAATGGACGTAAGGGCTCCTGAATGAATGATCAGTTGGCTGGTTTTAAGGATACCTCATGGAAACTTTTGTATTCAGTGACACGTCGGTTTTTACTGTGAATGCTCTCTGGACTATTTAATTTGACGCGTTTCCTCTGTTTTGGATTTACCTTTTTATAATTTAACCGTATGTATTGCTGATCTGGTCGCTATTTGACAGCTGAAACATGACGCTTTATGTAGAAGGTAAGTGGTGTTGTCAAAGGGTATATTAGGACATTTGGACCATACAATGTGTTTTTTTCTACCTTTCAGGTATTTTTTAAATGTAACTATTCTTACTGCCTTCCAAGCAAGTATTGGGTTCATCCCTGCTCCATAAAGTTTAAATCTCTGATTGAAACTTTCATACTCTGATATCTGAGACTGAAGAGTAATTTTCTTTATATTAACCTTTGGATCACAACATGACCATCTTCTACCAACTTGATACTGTATCCCTTGATTGCAATGGAAATTCAGCTGTACATGAACACACCATACTGGACCTGACAAATTAAATTCAGATATTTCTGATTGATTCATAGTCCACAACTTTTATGTGGACCTTAAAAAAAGCAGTCAGGTGGTGTTCTGGTCAAAGTTATTTCAGTCCTTCAGGCTAATAAATAATTGGCTATGTGTTTTGTATTTATTTCTCTGTTCATTTCCTTCAACATGTCCTGTCGATGCTGTCTAACAAGCAGCCAACCTGCCATTGAGTTACATGTTACTGCCATGAATAGAGCATTCAGCCCTTTATGTAAACCTAATGTGCTAAAGAGAGCTGATTTTTAGTTGACGATTATTTCCTAAATTCTAAAAAAAGACTCCTGATATTGTTTTTAGGTCTTTTAGAAGAGAACGGGACCTCCGAATGATGGTTGGTTTGTTGTCAAATTAATTTCACTGCCTAGCGCACGTTTAAATCGATTTGCTCAATCAATCAACACTCCATGCAATCAACTGATAGACTCTCATTTTGATAATCAACAAATAATTTAAATGTAAAAATTGCAAATACTTGATGTATACAGCTTTCACAATCTAGGAGATTGTGATGGGCATTTGTCACTACTTCAACATGTGATCTAAATGACTTGATTAATTGATGTATTTTATCCATTAAGCAATAGATTCGTAGGTGCAGTTTATAAAATGCTGTCGTTAATCTATTGATTATGGATAATCTGGATTTACCACAAGCAGTTAGCCGGCACATGGTTTTTATTGCCCGCTATCAAAATATTGCTGTGTACGTAAATCAAAATCTTAACCAGGGATTGTGAAACGCTGGTGTACTGTAAATCCTTCTGATTTCCTTATGCTGCCGTTGTCGATCTGTGGTCCGCCCAGAAAGGTTAGTTTTTTCCTGTTGTTGTCTGTGTGCCAGAAGTGGTGACTTCTTCTGTAGTAAGGTCTCTCGATTCACCACTGTGCAAATCTGCTAACCAATGAAGAGAGTGCTGAAAGGCAGACTGAGAAGAATCTTGTGTGTAACATGTGGTTACTCTCAAGACCTCTCACACTCTCCCTCTCCTACTTTTACTCGCTAAAATATTGCAGATGCCTAGTAAGATTATAAAGAGTATGGCATGTTTGAGTCATCCAGCCTTAAAATCAGTTCTGTATCTGTGTTTTGTTTTCATAGTATGAGTTGTCTCATTTGCTGGCACTTACCTGTATGTTGCAACTGTGTTATAGTAGTTCCTGAAATGCGTCAATCTTTAGCATCAAAGAAAACCAAACAGGTTCAACAGGTTAAGTTAGTCACATTTTTGCATTGTATCTCACTCTACATCTTGATGAGGACTCTGAGATGAATGTGTTACGTTTGAAAAGTCAGTGACCTTGTTTGGCGAAACCTACTCGTGCTAGTTCATAATTAATATAATTTAGGCTTGGCATTTCTTTGTTTATAGGTGTGATTCATCTCTTTGATTATTTTCCACTGCTTAAACTGTCGGGTCTGTAAAATATCTGGAAACAGTGAAAACGTACAATCAGTATATCCTAGAGCACAAGCCGACGTCATCCAGCATCTGTCCAAAACGCAAAAATATAAAATTTACAAAAATGTTAAATAAAGCAGCAGTCTCACACTTAAGAGAGCAGAGCCATCAAATATTTAGCTTTTTTTTTTCTTCATTCGCTTAAATGATTAATCTATTTATCAAAATAGTTGCCAATAATTTTATGTTGATCCACTAATTGATTTATTGATTCATTTTTGCTGCTGGAGATTCAGTTGTCTGTACTGTTATGGTTGGGGTACTCTTGATTTTTCTACCTTGTGTGAATTAAAATCAGTCTTATTTTAGAAATATAGAACAATATCAGTCGACTTGCAGTAATCTAACATAGAACAATTCTCTTTATAGCTTTAATTAATGGCAGTCAAGGCTAAAACTGATGGTTTGAGTTAATAAAATGAGGCAGGCACAGGTAAGAATCATTGTCAGGATCCAGAATAAATTAGGATTCGGCTATGTTGCAGCAGTGTAAAACCTTGCCCCCCCATCTTCCACTATCTCGCCTGTCCAGGTCTGAGTAAAGGAGAGGCCAGAGGTGGGATGGCTGAGTTCCAGGAAATGATGCGGCAGCAGCTGGAGAGCTCCATGCACACCGAACTGGAGAAACTGCTGGACACAACCACAGGCGCAGAGAGAGAGGTACAGTCATACACTCTCTGTGTCTCCCTCCCTCTCTTTCTCTCCAACCATCTGGTTGTGATTTAGAGGATGGTCGGTTCACACACGAACACTGGGAAAACACAAAAGTGACACATACTGTTGCACGGTGCCAATGAGGGTTTTACATGCTTACAGACGCACACACATGCATAAAGTATACGTCATAAAGTTGCAGTAGGCGAGGTTTTTAAGCCTAAATTGTAATATTATGCCTTATTAGGGATGTCCAGCCCAACTGAGACCCTGTAGACTAGTGTTAGGCCAAAACAAATTCTGGAGTTGGGAGTGGAAACTTCTCAGCCCAAAGCTGCAAATTAATCAAAACCAAAGCTGTCTGCCTAAATAGCAGAAGGAAAACTAAACTTAACCTTCATTTTATCTGTTTCTTTGAGTTTCCTTTGGTTTAAAACAATAATTGACCTTGAGAGCAGTCACTAGAAATTGTTTCACAAAACACACGCACGTACGAACACACAGGGTTTGGCCGGTGCCTCTTTCAGATATTAACCAGGCCCTCTCAGACTACCAGCAGTCACAAAACATGGAGTGATCCACGTAGACATAAGGTCAGAGGGGACAATAATTCACATACGGGCGTGCCCGGCACTTCATACGCACTTTTACTCAGGTGTGTTCACAGAAGAAGCTTTTGTACTTACGCAAGAAAAGAAGCCATGTGCACATACACAGCTGTACACACTGAAGTGGGAAGGTCTCAAGTGTAAATAGATATAAATGTGAATCTGAAGCAGGACGTTGAAAGAGTATTTACATGGTTATTTGAAGAGATGAAACAGTACAAACGTTTCATATCACGATTATAATGACCCAAATAATCACGGTAATCAGTATTATCGCGGTATTGTTAAAATGTGCTGAAGATGTTCAGAAAGTACTGATACACACACACACACACACATTGAAACCATTTCACCCAGTTTTATATTGAAAACCACAAATAAAATTAGCAGCACTGTGCATAAACTTTGAAATAATAACATAGTCAATAACTTATTTTAAACATAAGTACTGTATAAAATGTGCATTAACAATAAAGATGTTTGAAGTAATTGCAATGAGCCCAACATAAGTATAGTAGCATTTCTCCTAAAATATATTTTTGGGGTCTTTTGTACCTTTTTATATAGATATAGGAAAGATGAGAGACAGGAAACGTGGGAGAGAGAAAGGGGACGACATGCAGCAAAGGGCAGTGGGTCGGACTCAGTCTTTCTACATGGGGCGTGTGCTCTATTGATGAGCTAAGCGGCGCCCCTTGTTGGAACACTTTTACAACCAATTTGACGACTGCCAGGCTTCAAATGAACGGAATATGTAAACTACATAACGTGTTATCATGTGCAGTGGGCGAACAGAGTCTTCAGACACACGACTCCTACAGCAGCAGAACAACATCTAATGTTTTTACAAGAGTAGGTAACACTGAGAGCTTCAGTTGACAAGCTGTCAGACAGACAAACCAACATATGTTTGCTTATTCTGAAGTACACACAGCATGCATTGAGCTAAAAGTTAACTTACCCTGCATTCATTATAAAGTGATTTTCTTCAATCAAGTTACAAAGCAAGATACGACCACGCTTCAGGCTTCAGACAGGCTGGGAAAAAAAGCGCTGTCATTGCCAAATGTCTGTCAGGAAGCTCTTACATCACATCCTTGTACACATACTTTAGTTACATCTTGTTTAAAACCTACATTAAGTACATATACATTAAATGCATATCAATGTGTATCATGTAGTGTAGAGATAAAATAAAGTGCAAAGATTTTATTGCATAGTGAACAGTATTGCATAAACACTCAACACTCAACACCAGTCCTCTGAAATGATTTTTTTCCCCAAGTGAACTAGATAGATCTGTAGTTATTGATTGCATCTTTATAATGAAATATACAAGATGATATGTAGGAGAGATTATTCAGCAGCATCACACACTTGCTTAGCGCTTCCGTTTCATTGTGTAATTTCTCACTCTGCAGTGACTGCTTCAGCGAGCAGAGGTTTCACATCATGTCTCTCTGTGTGATTCCTGATCATCAAACACACATTTTACATTTGAGGCTTTCAGCTGGATTTTGTTTTTGATTCTTTTTGACTTTTCACAAGTGCAGCAAAGTTATAAAGTACAGGAAAAGGAAGACAAAATAAAAGAAGTTAGATTTTTCCTGATTGAACACCACAGTGGGAAACACTCAAAAATGTTATTAATTTATCCTACATTTTTGAAAGAAGTGGGTTTCAGAGTTCACTGTGTAAGCTGTGCAGCTTTTCTAGCAGTTTGTTCAACCGTCCTAGATTAGAGGAGATAATTAGTGCACTTTGAGAAGCAATTAGTAGGGTTTTTATCTTTCTGGTCAAGTGAATTTGGACTATGACTGGACAGAGCTAAATTAGTGACTTGGCAAATCTCAGCCTAAATAAAGGTTTAAATAAAATCCTTGTCTATTTCAGGTGTCCAGGAAAGACTTTGAGGGCTTCAAGAATCTTTTCCACAGATTTCTGCAGGTGAAGGGGCCATCGGTAGAATGGATAAAGATCCAGAGACCACCAGAAGACTCGGTAAGTCTAGTTAGTGGTATGCTTGTATCTTTGTGAATGAGAACTTTACAGTGAGAGAGAAAATGAAAACACTGGATTTATATCACTTCAAATAAAAGGACTTGTCATTGTCTGCAAATACCACTTCATGTTTCTGCATCAGACAAGTGACTATTGTAAAATATCCACATTCTCTTATATTGTCAGTACAAAATACAAATTAACCTCTAACCAATGTGTATGTTGCTACAGAAACAGGTTAGACGATGAAATCAATTCTGGACTTCTCAGTGTGCCGACCATTTTATCCTCAAAGATTTTTAAAATTTTATTTAACCCATATTTAACCAGGTAAGACCAGCTACCTCTTCTAAAAGGGTGACCTGGCCAAGACAGCAGCATAAAAAAGCTTACAGACGACAACAATGGCCACAACAAACATAAAAGATATACATTTACATATCGATAATAATACTAGATTTAAAACACCTACGAATAGTGACAAGTACCATCTGATTCATTCATCGTTGCACTTATAAGAACTTTAAAATCTGACATAGAGAACAATTCTCTATCATATGATGAACAGCAGAATGACACTGCAATGTGCGCTTGAATGTTTTTGATTGGTCGACGCAGTGTGTTTTGCTAGATGAGTTGTGTCTGCTTAAATATTTTTGTGGGATTACCCACAATGAACCCATTGTGTCTGAACTCACATTGTAGTGAATGTGGAAGCTCATTATGTTACTTTTAGAGCCAAAGAGAATCACAACCTGCTCCATGTAAGACTTCAACATCGCTCAATGAATGTACAAAAGTAAATAATTTTAAATGTACAAAATTTACTATCATGACACCTTGTCGTTGGTGGTTTCAGATGAGTTGCACCGAGCAGGTTTAAAATTGTAAATGAAAGCAACAATATGCAGCTCTATTTCACCTTGGGTCAGTGGTATATTTCTAGTCTTAAGCTCAAATGATCAAACTCCAGCAACGGTCGCTCATCGTGATGAGCTGTCATTAAAAAGCGCACAGCTCCAAGCTGAAACTGAATCATCAGAAGCATCAAACAAGATGATTTCAAACACTGTTCAGTTTTAAAAATGATGAAATGATGCTCATCCATACATTAGAACTTTATGCAACATTTTGTACCTCTGTTCTTCATTTTCTTTCCACTGTGGATGTTGCGACACTTCATATATAGCACTCAGCATACATCTGGCTGCACCCACTGCAATAAACATGATTACGGTACTTGTATAATATAAATTGTTAAGATTTAAAACGGACAACAGTAATATTCTATTTATTTAATAATGTTTAAATCATAAATAGGTGTGTAAAACGCAGTATACCTATTGAAAAAAACAAGTTACAAAAGGGCTGGAGTTTGCAGAGGGAAATATGTCCCATAACTATTGTAAATGGAAAATGCCCCTCCTTTTATGACCCATTTCCATGACCTGAAAAGATGCCTCACTGATAAGCTCAGCTGACATCAAAGTCAACAGATTTATAGTGTTAGTATAGTCGTTTATAACTTCCACTCCCACTTTTAACCATCTCAGATTTTGCTCTCTTTGTATGTTAGAGTTTGAATAGTACTAGCCCAGAAATTCCTGGCTGAATGTCATGTGGAGTTATTAGAACATTGGTTTCACCTTAGGCTTACCTTTTTGTTTGAGAGGCTTAGCCAAATACAGCAGGTGAATAGTTTCAGGTTCCTGGGAATCAGCATCACACACACATCACAGAACCTCACATGGTCATCTCACTTCTTCACGCTGGTGAAGAAAGCTCAGAAACGACTTTATATCTCGAGGAAGCTTAAGCTTAAGCTTAATATGCCGTTTTTCCATTACCAGTACCAGCTCAACTCGCCTTGCCTCGCCTCGACTGTACTCTACTCGACTAGGTTTGGCTATCCTCCGTTTTCCATTGCAGATAATACCCCTCGATGTAGATGGTCGTCATAGCAACACCACACACAACTGCTGCGACATAATTTTCAATGCGACACACACACCAGCGACCCACATACAGCTGTCTCTTGATTTAAGTTAAAACGTTTCAACATTACTCAGAATGTAAAGACCGATAAGCGGTATGAAAACCTTACAGGTGTGTTTTCCTCTGCCGTTGTGGCTGCAGTGGTCTGTGTGACGGTGGGACCAGAGGGCTCTGTGAACAGGCTTCGCCCGCTTCCACTTGCGGAGCTCCTCAACTCCGAAAACTAAAGCACATTTTTTTCACCATCTACACAGATGATTTCTCACCTCAAAACTTCTCAGAAGTGGATTTAGTGGTGCCTCATCTCGCTTGAAACCTCGACGGAGGTGATACAAAAAAAAGTACCTGGAAACAGGTACAACTTTTCCACAGTGGAAAACCAAAAAAAGGCGAGTAGAACCGAGGCGAGTCGAGCTGGTACCATGCAGTGGAAATGGGGCTATAGAAACCATCCTGACTGGAAACATCACCAACTGGCATGGGATGTGCACGGCCCGGGACCGGAGGGCTCTGCAGCAGGTGATTAAAACTGCTCAGAAGATCATTGGTACCTATCTCCCGAGCATCAGTGATATCGGTGAGGTGAGGTGCCTACGCAGAGCCCAAAGGATACTAAAGGACAGTACCCACCCAGCCACAGCCTGTTCACCCCGCTGCCTTCTGGGAAGAGATATAGAAGTTTCTGCTGCCGCACCACCAGATTGCTCACAGAGCAGCCCCCCCCCCCCCATACGACCAGACTCTCTAATTCATCATCAGCACTGCTCCATTGGTTATAGTTTTTTTTCTGTTTACCTTTTTTATAATTGATTCTGTATTATTATATATATTGTCTGCTATGTAGCAGAAGGGGGGTTATAAAACACAATTTCACTCTAACTTTCACTAAACCTACCTACCTACCTAAATACAAAATTTTTAAGAAACTTGAAATTACAGACCTAGCTAGCAAACTAGCGATGGGATTTGGATGCGGACAACAATACAAATCATGAATCAGCATATTCTGTAAGGGTAGTAAGGTCAACATAACTTTCATTTTGCATTTTCACCAACATATGTGGAGCTAGCTACCTAGATAGACCAGTCATAAACAGAAAACGAAACATAACCAAGGTTGCGGAGTAGACAGGATAAAAGAGATTGCCGTGTTGTATGGTTCAACAACACATAAAAAACTTCAGGACAGATTGCACAGCACACACACAGTTGGGTTATATTGGGTGGGCTGAATATGGCCTAAATCTGCCTACGGTTCTTACCACTTAACACTTGGATTAAGTGATGTGTGTAACTTCCTTCAGGGTGCTGCAGTTAGTTACAGTACACTTCCCCCTTCCCATCTTAAAACACACACCCCTTCTTCACTGGTTTTATCTGTTCCTCAGTGGACACCTAAATCTCACACCTCCACTGTTACAGCACTTTCTTGAAAGGGGTCAGTTGCATAATAGATGGAACCATGTGTCGATTGTCCCTCACGTCCTATTTATTTCATCCCACTGCCATGTGGAGTATTGCTGGAGCAGACAAAGTATTAGCAAGTCATAAACGGTACTCTTCGATGGCAAGAGCTCAAAAGTAATACCGACAAGAGAGCATCTTATGAGGCACAGTAGAATAAGCTACAGTTCCATCAGCATTTCATGTTCAGAGCCACAGAGAGATTGTTTACAGTACAATAAATTCAGGTTAATTTGGGTCAAAGGCAGATTATTAAGGCTTTGATGAGACGTTAATTGTGGAACAGTGATCGCTACTCGGTGTTCAGAAGGTGATACCAATGTTTTGTATGTGTATCACCTCGCAATGAAGTGCTGCACCCAGTCTGAGGCCCCATCCACACTACTGCGTTTTTGAATTAAAACGGAGACCTTTTGCTACGTTTGCACCCTCCCGTCCAGACTACAACGATGAAAACGAAGACCTAAAACTGAGAAGTTTGGAAATGCTGCCGACCCCGTTTTGCGTTTCAAAACTCCAGAGGGTGTTTTAGTGAAGACGGGCCAAAAAGGAGGACTTTAGAAACGATGATGCAGCCGCTCACGCTCGGCTCTCTGATTGGGTCTTGCAAAGCTGAAACACAATGCTGCTGACTGTTTTTTATGACATCATATTTTCATTAAAAAATTCTGTACCGTGCAAATAACACTCATCTGCCTACACTTATGCTGTGCATGTCACCGTTTACTTTGCAACAACTCCCAGTCTGTTTTCTGACGCCACACTCCCGTGTTACATTCAGTAACAGTCCCAGCTCGTTATTGATCCATGCAACAAAAATGTTTACACTGGCACGTGCAGTGTAAACATGAAGCAGGGTCCTAGCTGTGCGTTTTCAGTCGTTTTAATGTAGACTGAGATCAACTCCAAAACGCAGCGGAAACACTGGTGTGGACAGAGATCGTATTTGTTTTAATTCTCCGTTTGTAAACTAAAATGGAATAGTGTGGATGGGGCCTAAGAAGGGATTCCCTCGGAGAACAAGCTGCAGCTAAAAAACCTTGCCTATGACCATCTAAAGTTTGGGAGTTTTTTAGAGGGAGATTCAACACCATGGTGCTCTGCAAGGCCTGCAAAGTGGAAATGGTTTATCACAGCAGCACAACTGCTGTGCACAATCACTTTAAAAAACACAAACACTCATGTATGTTTCCTACACTGAAAAGTAATCTGTCTTTTAAATGCCCCACTTAAATGTCTTTACTTACAGTAGCCCTCTATAGACTGTACACTGACTATTCACCATCCACAACAACCCACAGGAGTCTTGAGTTTCCTTTTGATGGCGCTGTGGGTCGGTCACTTACAAAGTCGATCACAGTGCCAAGTCATCAGTGTTTTTCTGAGTCAGTTGTGCAGGGTCTCCTTGTTCTCTTTCACTGAAACAGGACATTTTGTAGGTCTTCCTTAGTTTTCAGGCACAAGGGATGCTTTCAGTGCTCCCTTCAGTTTCACTGGAACACTGGGTTTCCATGTTTTGTGTGAACTTGAAAGAACAAGAT